GAGGGCTTCTCTGCCTTCTAGCAGATCAACCATGCTTATGCTTTTCCTCATTAGATGCTACTGGTCACTGAGAAATAGGATTCTAGTAGAAAGGAACTTACAGTGAGGCTGTTCATCTTGGTTTCTACCTGTAAATTGTAATTTAATAATGGAAAATGCTATCAAATTGGTCTTCGTGATTACAGACCAAAATTAACAACCTTGCTTCTTTCTCCCACCTCTGTGCCCTTAAAAGGTATCCTCAAGCAAAGAGGAACTAGAGACATTTGCCAGTTTACAGAGTGAAATGAGATTAAATAGTTCAGGGTCATTAGAAAGAGACAGCCTCTCAGCACAGTGGTGATTTTAGTGCCAAAGAAATATTTCTCATGCTGAGGAATATGGTTTTACATTTTGCAGCATCAGTGGTGTTACAGCTGTTTCCTCTGACTTTCCTGTGTAGACCCTAATAACTGTTTAAATCGCTCCTTCAGGAGGATACCATTTCCATTAACCACAACTGGGTGAATGGCTGCAATGTGGCTATAATGTGGTGCTTCCTGCAGGATGAATTAGCAGCTGTCCAGCGGGAAATCAATGAATGGAAGGACCCTATGGATGATTGGCACCTACAATGCCAGGTATAACAAATAATGATGCTGCCTGCCTGACTCTCCATTAGGGGATTAGATATTTCCAAGGTGCATTGCACCACCTTATTAGAGCTCTAAGACGCACAAGTCCTTAAGTTCATACCTGGAATTAGTGTCATACTAAATGCATAGTTTCATATTAATGCACTGGTGACAGCTTCATTTTGCAGGAAATCAGATGTTCTTGTAGCAAGGTAGGGAAAGGCTTGTGCCAGTGCATATTTGCTATTTCAAAGAGGTTAGGATGTTGTCTGAAAAACTAATGCTTTACTGCTCTTCTTCAACAATCAAGGGTTGTAGCAGCATTGAGATTGATCCTTTATGTAATATTTGCCTCCCACTTTATAAAATATGAGTGCTTTTTCACATAAACAGCAGGACTGATAAGACAGACTCCACACAGAAAAACTGGTTTGGAGGCCATTCATGACAAAACAGTGAATGCAAACCAAGCAAAATTAAAGTGGCAACAGAGAGAGCTGGGTCTCTTTAGTTTGCAGAAGAGGAGACTGAGGGGAGACCTCATTCATGTTTAGAAATATTTAAAGGGTGAGTGTCACGAGGATGGAGCCAGGCTCTTCTCAGTGACAAACAATGGTAGGACAAGGGGTAACGGACACAAACTGGAACACAGGAGGTTCCACTGAAATTTGAGAAGAAACTTCTTCTCAGTGAGGGTGACAGAGCCCTGGCCCAGGCTGCCCAGAGAGGTTGTGGAGTCTCCTTCTCTGGAGACATTCAAAACCCGCCTGGATGTCTTCCTGTGTAACCTCATCTGGGTGTTCCTGCTCTGGCAGGGGGATTGGACTGGATGATCTTTTGAGGTCCCTTCCAATCCCTAATGGTCTGGGATTCTGTGAACAGAGTCTCTTGAAAGTGATGCTTTCAGAAGGCATAACTAAACTGAGCAGCGTTGTATCTTCTACGATCCCAAAATCTTAAGCATGAAGCAACTGCACAGTTTATTTCTGGAGACCGTTACTGATGCTAGGTTGATATCCTTCAAAAATAGTTCCAAAAACCACAGCCATTTAATACTTAGAAGAAGTAGGTTGTTGCTTTTGGGGCTAGTGGTGTTTGAGGTAAAGAATTTTAGTGCTGTTGGGGAATTATAATAAAAATACAATTAAACACGGTTACTCGTGACTCCAGATAGTTACTAGCCTGATTTACTTACTGTAAATAAAGGCACGTTGTTTCTATTTCAATGCTTTTTTTGTTTGCTTCTCCTAGTTGATCATGAAGTCTTGCACGGGTATAGACTACAAAGACTTCTACAACTTCCTCAAAGTTATTGCAGAGAACAGGATTTCTATCTTGGAAAACGGCCTCGATGACGAAGCTTCGGCAAAGAACACTCCGAAAGCTGCCATCTCCACCCTGGGCATGCTCCACGCAGTGTTTGATTTAAAGAGGACTGTGAAGGTGTTAACATCATTGAGTGCTAATGAAGATTTCAAGAAACTAGACCTGACGTCACTTTCTCCACCTCCGGAGGCATTGCTCCACCACTTGAAAGCAGCAATAGATACAGCGCTACTCTAACTTCCTATTTATTCAGTTCTTTGGAACACGAACCTTTTGCAAACTGGGTGTTTGTAGAAGACTGACTCCTCCTTGTTTAATAGCTGTTGCAGCTTAAGTACAAAGAGCCTTAATATAGAGTAGGGAGAGAGTACATTCATAAGAAAACTGAATACTGTTTAAGTTGACAGCTTTTGAGTATCTAGAGTAATTGGACAAGGGGAAAAAACCCCTCAAACTGGAAAAAAACCAGTCATATTAGTGTTATATTATGAGCTGTGCTGATGAGTACACACTGAGAGCAGAAATTCTCTGTGGACCTCATCTTAGCTTAGGTCTGTCAGGGCTAAACACTGAGATTGCAGCGATCTGCACCCTATTCCCTCTGCTTCTGACAGCAAACCTGCACTGCAGGCTCCAGCAGGTCAAGCTCTGCTTTGTCTGCTTACACCTAAATTGCTTTAAGACCTATCCTGCTCCCAGGTTCAGCTCAGTCTTTTTTATTTGTGTTTTTTTTGTTGAGTTAGCTTCCCTTGAAGCAGAAGAGGTGACTGTACCCTTTTCTTGTACAGTGACATCTCTAAAACTGAAAGTCTTGGGTAGGGCCAGCCTTCACGCTGCTCAATTCACACTGATTCAATTTAACATATCAAGAAGCTGGAGTCCTTATAGCAAATCTACCACTAATAACTTAAGCGTGTGACCCACCCAAGCTCAAAAGGAGGAACTTGAATGTACTCTCACTTTTCTACACGCTATTTCAAGGCGTAGTATTTTATCTAGCAGAGCTTTGATTGATCAGGGAAGCTAGCACGTAGCCTCGTATTATCTCCGAAAAAAGCCATGCTGTTAGCACACCAAATAGCACTACTGCATGGTGACAGAGCACAATTTGCAACCTGAATGCTACCCTTGGGCTAAAAAGAGTATTTCCAGTGAAGTATCCCTTTCGCTTTTACTGGTTGGTGAGAAAGCCTAGAAGCACAATTTTTGGCTGCACACTGTTACCTTGGTTGTCCCTTTAGGGCTCACTTGAATTATTGCTCAAGGACTTCCTCCATTTTCAACCAGATGACCAGTAAGAGCAACTAATAACCACATGTTTAGAAAGGATAGTAGAAACCTTTAGTAGACTGAAAAAAAAAAAAATCCCTTTGTTTTCTAGATAGTCCCGTGGAGTTTGTACATGCATGCATTTTGCATGTCCTGTTTTCTAGTAGAAGTTCTGCATTTTGTGTAGGAATTGGTACCTGATAATTAAAATCAATACCCAGAGCATGGAAGAATGCAGTATGGAGAAAACAAGACTTTTTTTTTTTTTTCAATTTGGTAACAGCTGTGACTACATCTCAGTGATTCAACCTTCTGGCAAGGTGTTTCTTTAGACTGGAAAACTGCCAGTTTGAAGCAATTCTGAAATGAAAAGTCCACAGCTGTTACTTATGGCTGTTTACATTCTCAAAGACAGGCAGCTGGAGCTTGCTTCCTTTATATGAATAAGGTGAGATTTCACAGAGGTGAGGAACAACACTTTTAAAGCTGACAAGCAGCATCTTGGTAGAAAAGCATGTTTTTGGTCTTGCGTTCCCCACTCTCGCTGCATGCTGTGCCACTTTAACACCACCATTTTATCAAGACTTTGCTTAGATGGCCAGTACTTTTCCTTTCATGTCCCACGAAGCCACAACTGCCAGCAAAAATACAAATCAACTTTTACCCCGAGAACCCGGTATCTCAAAGTACCCAGGACCAGTTTAGATGCTGCATGGTCCAGCATCCTCCATCCTCATTGGGATGAATGGTGTGAGTTTGCTGGGGTGCAGACATCCAGGCAGGAGTTTTTAGGGAAGAGGCAACATATCTGCAGTTAATTCCTCTTCCCTGTGCAATGCAGTTGAGGAAGAAGATGCCAGCATAGCCAGGTGGTTAAAGAGGTGTTCGAGTAAAGGAAGGTGGGTCTCGACTGCTCACTTTCTCTTCACTTGAGCTGCCTCTGCACCACAGCATCTTCAGCTCAGAAGATGTGCAACAGCCCTCCTTCATAAAGCCTGCTACGACTTAGTGCGAGACAATGGGGTAAAAGACAGTAGTTTAATTGCAGGAAATTATCTTAAAGTTTAAGCCACGTTCTCCTTTACCAATTTGGCAGGGAACAGAAGCACAAAGGTTGGTTTTATTGATTCAGTCTCTCTTACAGTTACATTAAGAGACTAATTTGTAGCTCAGATTCTCTATTCCCATGAACGATCAAGGCAGTAAGGGAGCCACGTATTTTCTACAGTTAAACAGAGGAAAAGAAATTCTCACAGGTGAAGAGAGCAACAAGATTGGAATAAGAATTATGTGAGCCTGGAATCTCTCTTAAAAATTAAGACAGCTTTATTTAAATACAAGTTACTGTAAAACATACATTAGGATACTCTCATACCAATATATTAACTATTGTAATCAGTGTACTATTTATTAAAGCATAATACTTGTTGATAAACAGGAGGAAACGCTCTGTAGAGGTTTGCTTCATTTGTTTGTTTGTTTTTCCTGAAGTCACAGACCTGGACAATTTAAAGTCAAACTGTGTAGAATAGAAAAAAAAGCAAGTTAAAACCTACTTCAAAAGAGCTTTTGCTCTAAATCTGCAACTCAGACATTACTATTTTTGTCTGATAGAAACAGGATACCAAATATCCATTGGCCTTTTATAAAGGCAGCATAAAACTCAGCCCAATTCTAATCCGATTTGTACCCCGCTGGCGTCAGCGGGTGAGATCTGTCAGCACAAAGCTGTGCACCTAGGAAAACCAGTGTTTTTTACAGCTCTGTCAGTGCGGAAAGCCAGGTGGGTTTATGTTTTCCCTCACCAGGATTTCAGATTTCTCACCCCAGGATGATGTATGTCCATCCTATTGGGCACACACGAACCCCTGCAGAATTACAAAGCAGCACTAGCATGTTCAAGGTGCAAGTAGGATATCCCTGAGATTTAACAGGAGTCTGCAGAGTATAAATATACACCTTAAAAAGTATCGTAAAACAAGGAAGTTAGTCAATAGCAGCTTTACAATGCAATGGAGAGGTACTGAGTTTGGCATAGGTAGGAAGAGGACTAGAACTTTCCTCTTAGGGATATGGGAAAAGCCACCTCAGTCCATGAGCAGGTTGCTCAGGAGCATGGAGATGGCCTCTCCTGTCCATGCCAAGTTTCTGCCAACCAGAAATGGTCCCACCAAGGCAGTTCTTGTGGTTTCATTTGACCGCTTTCTGTAAAATCATCTCCCTTTTGTCAGTTCACCAGTGCAAAACAAACACAGCATCGGAGAGAATGGTTAACTGAGGTTTCAAGGCAGATTGCTACTTGCAGGAAAGTGAAATAAAACTACAGGGGGCAAAAGAAACCTTGGCCACTTTCCACAAAGAGATTCCCAAACACAAGCTGAGGTTGCGTATTGAAGGCTTTTAGCCCACAGCATCCGTGTGTCTGTGTTTTACAGCCAGTCCAAGAGCAAACCCAGCAAGAAACCCTCATCTGATAAATAACCATTCTTTCCATTTTCAAGGCAGCTGGAACAGCAGGGACTTGACTGCTTCTTCATCCAACAGCGTTTGGTCAAGAAAGTGCGGCAAGACAGAGGCTCCCTTCGGTTCCTCGGGCTCAGGAGCTGTGAGGCACATGGCAGGTCTCTCTTTGATTGAGTCTCATCCTCTGTATGTGTTCGTAGCATGACTGGGCAAGGAACACAGCAACCCATTAAGGACAAAGTTTTGGAACTTTGGGCCAAAAATTTGGTCTCTCGGGCACAAAGTGAAGCAGTGCTGCCCCATAGGCTAGTCGAAAGATTAAATCTGTACGTTATAAACTGAAGATAAGCATGTTCTCTCAACTAGAGGGACTTATAAGCCATGCTAGGCTTGTAAACAGCCCTCTAAAATTAAATGAGAGCAAATTCATCAGTATCTACTGCTTGAGAAAGGATGACGCAGCTTGCAACTGCCGCTGTTGAAAACATTTCATAGAAGCATAGAAAGGTTTGGGTCGGAAGGGACCTTAAATATCATCCAGTCCAATCCCCTGCCATGGGCAGGGACACCTCCCACTAGACCAGGTTGCCCAAAGCCCTGTCCAACCTGGCCTTTCCTTACCTCCAGTGCTGTTAACAGAAAGTCATAGAGTCCTCCTTGGTTCGTGGGGTCCATCAAGTCTCTGATGAGATGGATTTCAGCTCCCAGGTGTTGTATTCTGGGGGGAGAAAAAAAAGGAAGTCCCAGCTAAAACAAATCTCTGGGTGTTTGTGTGTTTGAAATCAGATTATGGAGAGGAGGTGCAGGTCTGGAAGTCTGCTGCTGATTCCTTGCGTAACACCTCAGTCTTCTGGAGGCTGAGTCCTTGAGGTATCCCAGCATGACTGGATCTCAGAAAAGGTGCTCAATCATAAGAAAATTTCAACTCTTCCATTTCACAGTCTCTGTTACTCCCCTCCTCTTTCATTTACAGTCAAAGCAGCTGTAAGCCTGTACCATCCAACATGACCACAAGGTAAAAAATAAAAAAAACTTCTGGATTTCATGGCCCCATTCATGTTTTTTTTGAGACCAAGCATATCCAAGGAGTCAGTCAAGGACTTTGACTCAAATTTGCCAGAAGAAAAAAAAATACCCTTTCATTCTACTGGATGTAAGCAGGTCCTTGCAGTTCCAGTGAAAGCAGCACAGACAGAGCCTCTTTGGCAGAAATGTGTTGTGTTTACAGTCATTCCTACACAGGAAAAGTCTAATTATTAGATGGTCAGTGCTCAAGACTTTCCTAGTCTCCAAACTGAATCACAGTGCCCCACTGAGAATAGAAAACCAGCAGATGTAGGATATATAGATGATGCCTTGAAGGCATCAACACTTTGCATTCAAAGGCTTCACGTTCCTATTTTTTATTATGATCTGAGATGCAAGGAAGACTGCATTTCCAATTACAACCCTGAATTATCCTCTCAGATAAGAGATGGACACTCAGGAAGTCCTCAGCCACTTTATACCATGGCCAATGCCATAACACCACAGCTGGTGGACAGTAGCACACAGAAACCCCAATACAGCTCAGGAAAAAGCGTGTTAAAACACAAACCTTAATTTTTCATTAAAATTATTTGACCTAGAAATGTGGCTGTCCTTTCTCTGAGGTATCGCACAACAACAGGTCTGAGAAATGAAAAGCATCCACTTACTTTGCTCGGGACACAACATACATCAACAGGGGCAACAGGTCATCCATGGGGAGCTTGTAGTCCTTCTCCACCACCCGGGACACGGTGCTCTCTATCTCCTCATACGTCTTCTGGAGGATCACCAGCTTTTCTCGGGGATCCACCGTGGTGCTGTCAGTGGGAAAACAGCCACGTCAGAGATGCTTTCACTACACAACTAAAGAGATAAAGCAGGAGAACTGCCAGGAAGTCCATCAACCATCTCAAATGGCTGCACCAACAAGGGCTCAACAAGGTTGTCCCAGGAGGCATCACCAGGGTATAACATCATCCAGATGGACCTTGAGTCTTCTCAAGTCCTGAACGTTACCTGCTCACTCTAGAGTTAGTCTTTCATTTTAGACAGGGCTAACCTGAGTCAGTCCCTCAAATAAAAGCTAGAGTGGGAGATTAATCATTTTGGGTAGTCCTATCAAGAAATTGCTCTTGTGAGGAACAAATACAGTTGTCATATCTATAAGGTGGGGGCATTTTTCTGCTCATAACACCCTGCCAAGGTACACATAGCCTGTGCTGCCTTCCCAGAAGTGAAGTCACTTTGGGTTTCATAGGGAGCTTCTCACTAGTACTAGTGTAGTTATGGACCTGAGGATGGATCCCACAACAATTCCCTGCTCCCATTTATCTTCCATCCCACTTGTTACTGCAGCACCGTCCCCTAGCAAGCCAAAAAAACAAGCTGAGCTTCTTAAATTGAGCTCTACTTTGCTGCATTAACATCTTGGGATGCCACCCTGGCTTGACAACCCTCACATAGCTCCATGTGTCCAAAGCAAGGGGCTCTACCATGACCAGGCTGTCACAGCCAAGCCCAATTTGCCATGTACAGTCACACCAGTGAAGTACATTTCATTAAGGTCTGATTTTGTGTAGGAATATCTCTGCAAAACGTACAGTCACATCAATGAAATACATTTCATTAAAGTCTGATTTTGTGTAGGAATATCTCTGCAAAATTAAGGGGAAATATTTGCCAGGGGGAAGCTGCATTTAAACGTGACTGATATTGTATTCATATATTCTGGGAGATGAAATAATTCTACAGTAGTTACCTTTTCTTTTAAGCAGAAATAATATCACAGACAGCTTTTCTTTCGGGGGGAAGCTGCATTTAAACATGACTGATATTGTATTCATATTTTCTGGGGGGGGGAGATAATTCTACAGTAGTTACATTTTCTTTTAAACAGAAATAATATCACAGACAGCTTTTCTTTCGATAATTTTGTGGACTGACCCAGAAATGCTTTTGTAAACTGGTGTGAATTGATGGCATTTTCCAGAAAACAGAAAATCCCTGGTTGTCAGTTGGAAATTATGGCCAATGACTTACATCAGCTTCTGCAAGCACTCCGTGGCTGACAGGAAACACTTGTCTTTGATAAGGGACCGCCTCTGAAAGAGAGACAAAGAGTTGTGCCTCTGTAAGAGCACATCACAGAGATGCCACCACATGGCGCCTCAGCACTGGACCCAAAACAAGCACAACTGCTGCCCATAAAGAAGGGCACAATAAAATAACTAACCACCACACCATGTAGCTCTGATTTCTGAGCACAGTTTGCCCTGTGGTTACTCAGGTGAAGCTCTATCATTAATCAGAACCAACACATAGCCCCAGTGCCATCTCAGTAACACACCCAAACTGGCTTTTAGCATTATTTCTTACCTGGTTGGTTGTCAGGGTGAGATCTTTCAGAGGCCAGAGGTGTCTGAAAGGAGATTACAGAAATAAGATATAGGAGGCAGATGTCCATGTTGTACGACCCCAACTCCTACAAAGATAGCCTGAGAGAGCTGGGGTTGTTCAGCCTAGAGAAGAGAAGGCACCAGGGATACCTTATAAAGATCTTCCAGGACCTGAAAGGTGCCTATAAGAAATCTGCGAAGAGCTGTTCACTAGGGCATGTAGCAATAGGACCAGGGCTAATGGTTTTAAACTAGAAAAGGGGAGATTTATGTTGGATATGAGGAAAGAGTTATTCACCATGAGGTGGTCGATCACTGGCACAGGCTGCACAGAGAGGTGGTGGAGCCCCCATCTCTGGAGATATTCAAGGTCAGGCTTGATAGGGCTCTGAGCAACCTGATCTGGTACCAATGTCCCTGCTCACTGCAAGGTTGGACTGGAGGAGCTTTAAAGGTCCCTTCCAACCCTATACATTTTGTGATTCTGTCTTAGCTTCACCCTAAGTCAGTTTTGACTGTTTTTATCTCCTCGTTCAAGGTGATGCTGAAGTCTTGTAGGTGCATGAGGCTGAGTTCACTTCTCTCATTACACTGCTACAGGAATTAATAGCTTAAACTCATTAAGCTGAGTGTAGGGTTCGTTTTACTCACAGATGCTTCTGTAGTAATCAGTGGAGAGTTTGGGCACTTCCAGGTTCAATTCCTCTCACTGCGTCTACACTGAATCAAACTGAAAAATTGAAACACTGAGTTTCCTGCTACCCTGCTTAAGTCCTCAAGCTGCAGATGATGCTGTGTTAGAAAAGCTCACATGTCTCTGGAGTCTATTTGTCCTCACATATTGCTTCCAAAGATGTCAATAGCTGCAGAAATGAATGAAGAACACGTCTGGCTTCACAGTCTTTTCCCTGTTTTGAAACTGTGTGCCTACATTAATATGGCAGATACCATTGGATGGACTATAGCCCTTTCTAAAATACATTTACAAACTGTCTGATTGGTCCTGAATTGGAGCAAAGTGCTTGTTTGGTGACCAGAAAAGCCAAGATTTTTGCTACAGGAAAATGGAAGTTAGCAGAAATAACAACAGCTTTCCAATAGTCGGTGTTGTTCCAGACAGTATTTCAGGCACTCTGTGACAGGATTTCCTCCAACAGACTAGAGAAAACTTCAGTGTTAGAGCCAATGATGGACCCAGGAACAGGTCATATGTCCTTTCCTCCTGTGCCATCAGAGTTTTTCCCTGTCTGCTGCCTTCCCAGCTGATATAATGAGGTTGGATCCTGGGATGAAAAGATGTCACTTACTTTTGCACATCCAGAAACTCCAGCAGCTTGATGTCAGGAAATAAACTTAGGTCCACGATCCCTTGGCAGTAGAGGTCATCCTCTCTTTCATGATAGAGCATGTAGAGCATGAAAAGTTCAGGGTAGAAGCAGGGCAAGATCAGTGGCAGGACCACACTGCATGCCTTCTGGTCACTATGGGGGAGAAAAGCAAAGCAGAGCCCTGAGGTGAGACCTATAGCTTTGAGGCACGCAGGATACAAGGGAAGAGGCAGCTTCTGAGACTCCAAAGTGTTCTCATTTTTTTCCCCTCCTTCCTCCACCTCCTCAATGTCACAGCTGGACAGTAGTGACCTATATAACACTCATGCTGAAGATGCAAGTGCATCTCGTGCTGTAGCACACAGCCAGTTGCTGTTTCCCCACAAGGTCTCCTTAGTTACTGGAAAAAACCTGGAGCACCAGAGACCTGTCTCCAGCTGTTCCTTCTGAGCTGTTTCAGTAGAGCACTTGTGGTTTCTTAAGGAAGACAGACCAAATAAAGTCAGATAAAGCTCTTTTCCAGCTATTTGCCATTCCACCAACCTCTTGGGTTCCTTCAGTCCGCATGGGGCTGGCTGCAGACTACAGCAAAGCTAAATCTAGACCAAATGGGGACGGCTGAACAAAGATGTTTCTTCCCACCTCCAAAAACCTTAAACCTGGATCTCCCACAATTATTCCTACCTTTTTATTGTAGGAACATCACATCTTCTACCTCCTCTGTCACATTTACCACATTTTACTCCCTATTTTCAGGCCTGCCTTTTTCTCAGTGCTGATATGGAAGTCGCCATCAATGAACAAGTTCCTGTGACTAATGCAAAGCATGTGGTAGTGCTGGGACTGCTGTCCCACACAACCCTGCTACCGCACAGGAGCTGGTGTGGGTAATCTTTCACACACCTCCAACTCACCACTCTATTCTGCTACAAAACACGATTACAAGAAGTTGTTCTCATGCATCAAGCAGAATTACTGAAACCTTTTCACTCAGAGAGAAGTGTGGGCTCTAAACCTGACTCAGATGGACAAATACAATCCGCTCAGCACTTCAAGTATTTTAGAAGACATCCCATATGTCCAAGCAGCTTAAAATAAAACCGCCAGTGGTGACACATACCTTGTATCTCCATCCACACACTTTGCAGGCAGTTGGCTCTTCTGTTCCAGTGCCAGATGGAGCAAACCCCTAGAAGAGAAGAACCAAGGTTTAGTTCCCCCTCTCCTTTTTAAAGAATAATTTGGTATTTATAACTGAGCAGCTCAACTGTCCCAGTATCAAGTGGGATATTAGTAAACCTCTCTGCAGTCCTTGCATGTTGTTTCAGTATTTAAGTTTCACTATTTGAGGGCATTCTTCATTACCAGCAGAAGGCTTCAGGGATGAAAAAGTGTTTCAAAAATCTTTATGGCTTCTGAAGAGTAGGGTGGTCAATGTGGAGACACTGACCACGGTCTGTATTGAACATCATCTCCTTCCATTCCCACTCAAGGGACATGAAGTTTCAGGACCTATCATACCAACCAATCCTCTAATCCATCTGTGAACATTAGAAAAATGTTCACTCCAAAAAAAGTATCTTGGGTTTGTTTTCATATTTCCAAGCCAAAATTCCATAATCTTAAAATGCAGATTAAGGAGGGGTTGCCTTTTTTAAATGTAGAAGTATCAGCCTAGGAAATGTAGCCAGGGGAATAGTAGATCAAAGTGCGTGTCCCTCTCCACATCCCATCTGAAAGGTCTGGAGACATGAAACAAGCTTTCCAAGGTATGCACTGAGCTCAGAAGCACCTTCACATGAACCAGTGCTCAGGTTCTCAGCCCTGTTTTGCTGTCCATGAACACAGCTCAGATGAACCGAATCAAATCTGAGCTGTTCCTATCAGCTGTGCAGCTCTTCTCAGACTGCACCAGGACAGACAACTCCTCATCACAGAGCTGGCAGCCTTCCTCAAGCACACGAGGCTACACTGATAACAACAGAGCTTTTATCCAACCTCTTGTTTTTAAGGCAAGACCACAAGTGCAGCTAAAGGCAGAGCTCCACACCTCTGCCTACTGTGGCATTTCTTTATCTCATCCAAAAAGGTATTCAAACAGCAACATGACCCCAATTATGCCTTTGATCCAGCCCTTAATTACCCATGGGCACAACTACACAACCGAACAACCTCATTTTCGAGTCACTACCCACATCAGCTGAGCCTCAACAATGCGCTTGCACTGCGTGTTCTTAGCTCCTGTTGAGCTGAGGCACGTTAAGCTTGAGCTATTTTTCACTCTACCACAGATATCAAACACCAGAGTTGTGTGCTCCGATATATTTTGCTGTCCTCGTTACTTAGTGAGGTTTCTTGCTCATATCTGTGCTTGTCTAAATGAGGCCTTATTATGTGCAACAGCTCATTGAGCTGCCATCACTCAGTGAGATTTAGTCATATTAAAGCTCCTGGGTCCCATAGTGAGCAATTGGCATAATAAAGGTTCCTTAGGTCCACACGACCTTAGGTATTGCAAAAAACCTCTTTATCTATCACCATTCTGAAGCAACTCTCCCAAAAAATACACTGTGAAATAAAGCAGCCCTGTCACCTGGAAACATTATCCCAACGGTCTACTCCACAAGCCTTCTATGCCCATATCCATTGGAAAGGCTCAGCGTGCTTAACTTACTGGTAAAACTCCCATATTTTCTTTGCATAGTACTTGACTTCCTCTTGTGCCATAGTCAGCAAGTGTCTGTTGGCTCCAATCCCAGAATATGTTGCCTGAAAAGCTATCGTCAAGGCCTTCAGCAGCTTTCCCAGTGGGTGCAGGGAAGACTTCAATGCCTGCATGATAAAGGAAAATTAAATTGTACAAGTCAGCCCTTGCCATTAGTAGAGGATAACACTGAAAAGCCACACACCCTTCTCTTGTCAGCAAAGGAGAACAAGCCTGGAGGTAATCAACTGTAATTTTGGTCTGTTTTGGCTGCCACAAGCCCATTCTCCTCCCATTATCAGGCAGAAATATGCTTAGTAAGATGCTATTCTGATGAGATTTGCTGTGATATTCAAGAGAGAGAGCAAAGAGTGCTTCAGGGAAAGGCTGGTTTAGTGAAAAACAACCACTGAGAGTGCATGAAAGGTAATTAATTACTTTTAGCAGCTGGTTATTCTCTGATACAGTTTGAGAACCCAGAGTGAAGTTTTATCATCACTTCCTGGCCTCTATAGCTGTACACAAAATGAGTGTCCAAAAACCATGTAACCTCCTCTTCACAAGCATAGGTATTCACACATAATTTAGAGAAGGCTCTTGAAGTCACTGGCAATGTTACATGCGCTAACAGAAAGCAACAGAAAGATCCTACAACCTGTGTCCGTGTCTGGGGATCATCATGGTTTTTAAACTTTACCTTCTCTAAATAACTCTGTAGTGACTCCAGTCCCTGGTGGTGGACAAGCTCTTCAAGAATATCTTCTATCTTCCAGGATACATCCTCAGTCCCCCTGAAAAGATGAGAGGTGAGGAAGGAAAACCACACAATGAAGCCCTGGGATAAATCCCAATTGGTATTGCAGGAGAATACCAATGGACCAATGAGACTATAAGAGTGAATTAATTTTTCTCCACCCTTTTTCAATGGCATTGCTCCACTGGCTTACAATCCCTGTGATTATCTAAATTCATCACCTTTAACTCACCTTACAACCAGTTTGGCTTGCATCCTGCATGCTTGTCTGATCTATTTTACACAACCAGTCTAGGTTGCATCCTGCATGCTTGTCTGATCTATTTTAGATACTTTTTTAAGGGGAGATGAGTTTGCTCTGCATTAGCTGATGAAATCATCTAGGTTTCCCTCTAATAAAAGAGGAGTCAGCAATGTCTGGGTCCATATGCAGATGCTTACATTTAATCAAATGAAGCCCATCCAACTTTTCACTTGTAAGAATCCATCTCAACAGCACAACCTTAAATACAGGCTTAAAATTCATCCTCCTGTCTTATGAGGAGGAAAACTGGATAATGCTTGGGTTCATAACTTTGACACATGGCAAACCTTAATGTAAAACACTATCCTGTCTACACAAATGGGCTCCTCTGTTGCAATGAGGCCATGCAATACTCATACCTTTGGCAGAAGAGGTACTCCTGAGATTTCCGCAGCTCCTTGCTCGTTTGTATGTGGAACCCTGTGAAAGACTCTTCCGTTTCTTCTTTGCAGCCTGAGTGGATGAACTCCAGGAACTGGTCATAGATTCCCTTCCATCTCTTCTCTACTGGGAACTCATCGAGGCCCAGCTGACTGCAAATCATGACATGGCATTAGACAGTTCTGCATCCCTCCTCAATTACTTCAGACTTCACCTTCAAATACGGAAGGTTCTCCAAATTCAGATGTTAACATAGGAACTATTAGGCAGTGCCTAACTGGTAATTCAACAAAAGCTGGAAGGTTCTCCAAATTCAGATATTAACATAAGAACTATAAGGCAGTGCCTAACTGGTAATTCAACAAAAG